AGCTAAAAAATATCGAGATATGAATTTTGGGTCATATCGCCCAGCCCTAGTCTGAAATGTATAAAAGTAAGCTACAGAAACAAGACAAAGTGCACTGTCAAAAGAAGGTAAAAGGTTAGTTCCTTTGAAGTTCATAAGTATGTTTTGGATAAAGAACCTCTATTATCCACAGCTCTTCCAAGAGCTCTTACCTGCACCCTCTGCTTTTCTCGAAGCTTCACCTCGCGGTCGATCAGTTTCTGGCGTCTGTTGGTCTCCTCTTGTAACCTTTTCTCCAGATCCTCCCGTCTCCTCCTCTCCTCGTCCAAGGCCTGCTTTCGAATTTCCATTTCCCGCTCCTTAAGAACGATTCAGATGCAGTCACAGGTTATTTAATGACACACACATAAAAAACACAACAATTTTGCAGTTTGGGCAAATGAAGTAGCACCTCTATCTTTAAGGTTTGGAATTATTACAAAGATACTCGACTGATCTGCATATTGGCTTTAACGCTACATATCTCTCTAACATTAAATAAAATGTGAAAATATGAATAAATCAAATAGTGACCTTGTGTTCGAGGAGGCGGTTCTTCTCGGCCTGCGCCTCTCTCAGCAGGCGCTCCATCTCCTCCAGCTTGGCTACATTTGACGTACTGGCACTACAGCGCAAAAAGCACATACAGCAACCATTAAAGGAAATAATGTATCCTTTGCTTTACATCAAACACTTGACACTTATAGAAAAACAAACAAAAAACCCACTTTGGGATTTTCCAAAAATGCAAGGGAGCAGCTCGCGAGTTAATAAAAAAAAAACAGTGGGTACACCGACACGCGACATGAGAAAATCAATGAACTTCAACTTTTCTTTGAAATTGTTTGATGAATGTCGGCATTACTATAATCCAATATAGGGCTCCAGCTATCGATATTGTTTTAGTACTCGAGTTAATCAAGTAATCGGATTAGAAATACTTATGTCTTATCACTGAGCAATAGTAAATATTCAGTCAGTGAAGAGAAGCTAGCATGTCAGCATAAAAGTGACATTCTTATTGGTATAACTGTTAATAATTAATAATAACAATTAATGCTAGTAATCATTCAGTGTGCAACTTAGCAGTTTTATTTTTTATATTTTTAAACATTATATACAAAACCATTTAATAAATAAAACACTTTAACTAATATAAATCTGCAAAATCATGCTACTAAAGTCTTCAAATAAATATGGCCTAGAACACCCCATGCCCCCCTTTAGACTCACCCCTGCAGTTAACATTGTGATAAAAAGTAGGACGGCTTTAGTAAGCTGCCTAATTTAAACAGTTCATCTACATCTTCTATTGCAGCTGTATTTGTAGTCTCTAGTGTGGGTGAAACGCTCACATAGTCATGGTGACAACTGAGCCCTAAAGAGTTGCGGATTAAAAAAAACATCAAAGTGAAAAACTTGCATCGAGGATTTTTTCATAATGGAGTTTTTCGAGTTGATGAATGGTTGCAGCGTGTGTACATACATGCATACAACACATGTAGATCTACAGAACTCTGTTTAACATTCCAAAGTAAACGCTAAACTGTCCTGAGGATACTGATTATTCACTGGTTGTGTGTGTGTGTGTGCGTGCGCGCTAAATCAAAGAGGAAATCCATTAAGAAAAGAGCCAAGGCAAACCATCTATATTATCTCTTTAGGTCTTTGAGGCCTTGTCTGATTTAGGGTCTCCCAAACTGCATATGGTCTACACATGACACTCATTCCTGACATCACAGCGAAAGGATCTATGTATGTATTTCTCTGTCACATCAAGCAGTAATTCTTTTTCTCACACTAATTTTCTTGCCAAGTCTATTTACTCTCACAAATGCACTTCTGGTACTACCGCCGTGCTGACTTACATTCATTTTATGAAACCTTACCCAAGCCCTGAACATAACCTGCTTTACCCTAACATTAAACCAAGTCTGAGCACTACATTTTAAATATTTCTGTTATTGGAATTTGCCTTTTTATACTCAGGGGAAGGCCAATTCCCAAAATATGACTGTGTAACCAGATTTAAGTAACATAAGCAATGTACACACACACACACACACACAGCTTCTTATCTGGATCCAGGAGGAAATGAATACCCGGTGTTGATGTCACAACAGTGCTAAGAAGAATGGTGCACATCAGACTGAAATATAAACAAATCAGGAAGCGAGACAGGGTGGAGAAATGTGGAGCAGCCCGAGTGCAGAGAGGACAAAAAAGGAACGGGAGGGAGGGCATGAAAAAAAAAACAAAAAAACTAGACCATTTGCAAAAGGGAAAAAAACCCTCTTTTTTTCCCCACTCTCTGCTATTTTTTCATTGTCTTTTTCATCAGTTTCCAGATGCTTTTTCTCAACAAAACACCAGCAAAGAATCCAAAAACAGTAACAAGTCGAATCATTTTGAAAGAAATTAGAGCGCTTGTTACTATTAAATGAAAAAGTACTTAATTATGAATGAATATCAACATATCACCAAAGTCAAATATGAATTAAACAGTACCACCGATGGCATTTTTCTTACCTCAATCGACGAGAGGTAACTGCACTCATTGTCAATATACACCCGTGCAGTTCAAAATGTATTTATTCGAGTTCTGGACTACTTGGGAAAAAAATTGTTCTAACACTTCTATCTCCCAAAACAGGACTCATCACTGCAAATTAACAAAACAAATCCAGCTCTATCATAAAACTGATCCACATTCCCCAACGTGACTTCCAGTGCAATATAACCCTATGCAGCCTAATCTGAGCCAAAGCACACTGAGAATAAAAACGCGCAAAACAGAGATGTAACTCTGCAAATGGTTTCAAATCTGCTGGAACGAGACCATACCATTCAGAGAAACAAGAGGAGGGGAGACAAAAGATGTAAAAGGATTGAGGGAAAGCAGGCACACATGGTTTTACTCCAGTCGGGGGGCTGAACCCCTAAATGGACCTCCACACTCATGCTGGTTTGCTCAGTTAATCTGAACCTGAGGGGGCTGACTGGAAAGGCACCCGCGCACAAACCCCTTTATGCTTTCTGTCTTCCGTAAGCTGATCCCTACAACTCTAATCAACAGAGTCCTCCCCCCTTAACTCAAGCTACACGCTCAGTTCTACACATCCTATTCTCCAAGGAGGGAACATGAAAGGCAGGAAACTCTTTTTTTATTAAATTTTTTGCTAGCAAGCCCTCCCCACTTCATCCAACTTTCTGTCCCATTTCAACTTATTCTAAAGACGTCTTTAACAGTTATTTTCATCAGTGCATACACACTGCTGACAGGCCTTTGTGTCACCTACCTGGAGATGTTGTCAGGTGAGCAAGCAGAGATGCTGGTTTCAATAGAGTCACTACTATCCACACTCATTGTGTCAAAGGCCTGGTTTTCACGGTACCCAAAGGCATCGAGGTAGACGTTGGTCTGAGAAGCAGCTCGGGAGCTCGGCTGACCTGGATACACACAAACGCAATGAAGATGAAAAAGGATGAATTCTCCAGTAGCAACCAAGGTTACTTACTCCTCCTGCCCACGCATCAAGCCAAGTCTTCTACCTGTCGGTGTAACTTCTTCTGGGACAGACTGCCCAGACGGGTTCAAATTTTGATTACAATGCCCCGCCACCGTTACACTGTGTACTCACACGTCCCGGGAAAAAATATATCCAGGCCTTAGATTAGGTGAAACTGCAGCCTAACAGTAAGACACTCAAGCACACAAAATAAATGGAAAAGAAAGAGGAAAAAATATTTTTTGTAAAACAAGCACAGAAACAGGTTTTGAGATTTAAAAATGAATAAAAACAGCAGCCTGAAACTGTCCAAAGACTTCTGGAAAGACAAAAAGATATTCTCATGAAGCTGACGGATGAATGATGACAGATCTACAGTGCGGACACTTTAAAGAGAGACTAACTAAACCTCCTGGTACAGGAAGAAACACACACACACACACACACACACACACACACACACACACACACACACAAACTGATAGCATCAGCTCTGTTTACTAGACCCACCCATCAGATGAGCCAGATCAGGGGACTAAAGGGGCCAAGGCATCAGATACATGTGCCAGTTCCCAGAAAACACACTTACAACATGAGACACACAGTACTTCAAAATGATCCCCCAAAATACTGATTTGTTGTCTGAAGGGCAATGAAAAATGTATTTTATGAAAGACTAAACTACTTATTCTTATGTCTAAGTAGGTGCAAATCTAAATTTAATTTATAATAGCGATGCCTATGCAAAAGGTTGCTATGGAGAGGAGGCATGGTGTCCTTCAGGTGGCATCCTGTATCTTTCTGGGCCAAACAGCAAACATCCACACAGAGTGCAAACGCTTTACACTCTTGTGTGTCATATTTTCTTAACAGTGAAGACGTTACAACAGCTCGTGTAAATCCCCACGAAGTGACGGAACGCTCACATTCCTCCACTATCTCCACTGACAGATAAGCAAATGTGGAATTTATCAAAACACAAAGAGGTGCACACCCACAAACAAAGCCTCTTGCTGGGATATTGTCTCCATATAAGGTGCATTTTCAAATCCCAGCTCAGCGATGAGTGTGGTTTTGTGTGTTTGTGCGATACACGAGAGAAAAAAAAAAAGAGTAAGATCAAGTGAAGTTAAGTGTATTTGTGTGTGTGTTTTACCTTTATGCAGACGTCGAGATTCACTTTCCTTATTGGATAAACTGAGGATTCTTGGAAGAATACTCCCACAACTTGTACTCTGTACCAGAGGCTGATGGGACTATAAAGAATCAAGAAGACGGAGAAGAAATGGGTGCTTCATATTCTATTTATAATAAACACTATAACTCAAAGACCAAGTGGTGAAGCCGAAAAGTGATACACAGACCAAGTCATGGTAAATTTGTAAACCAATCATTTCCACCATAGTTTTCGTAAAAAACCTTTGTTTTCTGACGAGAGCGAGACGATAACTAAACAAAAACTAATGCACAAGGACAAAAACTATGATGAAACATACTGACACATTTGTCAATGAATAAAATGAGATCCAATCAGAACTAATTAAGCTGCGCAGAAAGGCGGGACGAGTTTGGAAGTGATCCAGTCACTTGTGCGGTGAGGTTAGACATCCACATCACGAATAGCTCCCATGCTCCCTATTTCTCATGAAAACGTGACAAAATGTCAGCGCTTTGGAGGAAGAGAAGAGCAGACATATGAACACACATCTCGCATTTGATGTCAAGGAAAATAAGATGCTCTGTGAACTCCCATCTGTAAAAACACCACAAACTTTCACACCAATCAACTTTAGATTTAATCTAATATAATCTAATCATATTTAGTCGGAAGTTGCTGTCAATTATTTTTTTTCACATACACAATCATCTCTGCTTGTACCTTTGTGGGGAAGCTGCGCCCGAGTGTTGCACACATAAACTGGGGGTTCATGGCGGTCGCGGTTTTCTTCCTAGGTAATGTATCACTTAGATGTGAGCCACTTTCTTTCTCAGACCTCTTCCTCTCCTCCAGCAGACGGAAATGCTGATGAGACACAGACACACACAGAAAACATGAACACAATTACCGAAAATTACAATTATTCATTTCACTTTCAGTCATATATCAACGTCCCCATACTTTAAGTGTAATGTAAAGTCTTGGTGTGCAGGATTTAAAATGTCTTACTCTGGCGCCATCTGCTGGAGAATCAAGAAGTCACAGTGGCAGAAATGCATTCTCCCTTTTCTTAACCCACATTCAATAATTTTACTCTTTAGACAGACGGATCTAGTTTCAATGTAATATGCTTGTGATATAAAAATAAACACACAGTTGTTTACACACTAACACACACACACAGTCGTGTTTTCATGTTTGTGGGGACATCTAATTGACATTATGTTTTCCCTTGCCGCTTACCCTAACCTTAACCATCAAAAATGAATGCCTAACCTTAACTCTTACCCTAAACTGAAACATAACCTAATTGTAACCTTGACACTAAAACCACATTTTGAGTCTCAAAATGCCTTCAAACTTGTGAGGACGGGTATTTTGTCCCCATAAGGGCTGGGAGTCCCCACAAGTATAGGAGCATGCCAATTTTTGGTCCCCACAAAGATATGTAAATATGGTATACATATACACACACACACACACATTACCTGCCTGTGTTGCTGATGGCGCTTTTTGACAGGAAGGGGAGGTGGGGGGGAGTCTGGGAGAGGGGAAGGGTCTCGATATGTCACCATGTTCTCTGGCCAGTGCACAGAGGGTGTTTTTGGAAGGGGGCGGGGATTTAAACGGGAGGAAGAAGAAGGAGAGGAGGAAGAGGAGTGACAGTCGGCAGGTGAGGAAGAACGACAGAGCTTCGGAAAAAGAAAGGAACATTGTCAGAAAGCTGAAATGAGCGCAGAAACAGGAAGACAAGCTGGGGGAGAGAACCAGCCGCACACTTTGCACCATCCGCCTCGGTGTACTTATCTACACACGATAAACCCGTCACACCACTACACACACCTCATCCTCCGCTGGTTTGGGGGTGTCCTCATCAGGGGAAAGGGTTGCCTCGGGCTCAGGAGAGGCTTTGGTCAGAGTGGGGGCAGGAGCAGGTTTAGGGTCTTGCCCAAGCTGTGAGTAAAGCTCATTGATTTCACTGACTGTGACATAGCCCTGCAAGGTGTCATGTGGAGAGAGAAGGGGTGAGGCATAGCGGGAAGTGAGTTAGCCGTGGAAATTAGTTGTTAGAACAATGCAAAAATTTAGTGGCAATTTCAGAAATAAGTTATTTACACACAACACTGTTAACATGAGACAAAGGACACACTAACAAGATTATGTCAGCATTAATATACAGTACGTGGACGTAAAAAAATCAGCTTCATCTCAAATTTCTGGAACTTCCAGTAGTGCGTTACAAGAGCTAGCAGTTAGAACAAGAGGCTACAATGGCAAAACAAAGAAGAAGACTGGGAATAAAGAGAAAAAATGGAAACCAAAAATAAAGAGGAACACAAAAGGGGAAATATTAGCTCAGAAAGGCAAAGTACCTCTGCGTTCTTGAGAAAAATAGAAGAAAGGAGGGAGCGACACACATCAGCCAAAGAGGCTGAATCCTAGCAAGCGGAAAAGGAAATCATAGCCATTAAAATCAGGATATCGCCCGTTCCAGGACTCGTAAGTAACCACAGCAGCCGCCAATCACACCTACCTCTCTCAGGGTGAAACTCCGTCCACCGGTGAGGCCAGGGTATTTTCTTTCCAGCACAGCCAGGCTTTCTTTCTCCTGGCAGACAGATACAGACACAAAAATGAACTTTTCCCGTCATTAATACAGAGCACAGCACGCACATGCGAACATAAAATCTGCCATACTCTCTGCAGCATGGACTCAAGGTTGCTCCTCTCCTTCAAGAAGCTCTCCTTCTCTCGTTGAACCTGCTGCGTAATCTGCGCCGACTGCTTCTTCAGAGTTAACAGACGCTCCTGCGAGAAGGAGAACGGAACAAACTTATCAAGCGCCTCTAGCCTGCTTAGAAAGTATGAATCAAACATTCCTGTTAACCCTGCAAATCTAAACACATTGACATTTAAAGAGCAAATTCAGCTTCAAACAGCAGATTAAACAGGCTGGATTTTTAAATCAAGAACAACCGAGAAGAGAGCTGATACCTTGCGGGTGACGGTGCTGCGTTGGTAGTCTGCGATCTCCCGGAGAAGCTGCTGGGTGTGGGTCTCCTTCTCCTCGTCCTGCCTGCTTTCTCTCTCGAGCTGCTGAAACTCCAGGTCCTCAAAACGCTTTGTCTCTGCCTCAAGCACTTCGCAGTCCTGATACACACAATGAAATAGATAATACAAGTGTACACTACTGCTCACAAATTTTTCAGTTGTCACTGGGAGTAACTGTATGATTTCTGAAGTCAAAGCAGCACAGTACCCTGTGCAGTACAGCTTAAACCTGCTTGATACAGACTGCTGTGGTGGGCTTTAATTATCTGAAGATCACGGGCTGGTACCCTAGGATCACATGACCATTCTTTTGCTACTGATGTTCTTATTCTTTTTTATTTATTTTTTGAGTATAGCAATGTACTGTAGCACATCCTGCAGTCTGGCATTGCCCTAATAATGACCTGAAAGTAACACAGGCATAATAGGTGGTAATCTGCATAAATGTAGGATGAGGTTGAAATGAGGTTGTCTTTCATGGCTAAACTTACTTCCAAAGCTGATGCTGCGCTCTCCTAAACTTAAAAAAAACCCTTTCACTAAACTTGAACTCCGTAAATTGCAATAAAAAACAAGAAAAACTCCACTATTCCAAAACTTTGCATGCTTTTGTAGCCACCACATTAGAGAAAGAACATCAAGTATACGTGCAAGTGTCCATAAAAGAAACCTTCTCACATAAAACCCCGCATCTACTAATATTAGCAAAAAAATGCCAACATACTCAAATACGACAAATAATCGTTTATCAAATACGTCTCATTCCATAACATACGTAGACACGGGTGCAAACCAGACTGTGAAATCTCTAATGTGTGTGTCATCAACACTAAACATGCAACAACACATCACTACCGTTTGGCTAAACATGCAGCCTTTCACACACCGTAAGCATTCGCCCCAAAGAGAAGATGATTTAAATGTGCCGCCTCTTTGATAAGTCGTCTCAAAAAACAGTCGCTCATCAAACACAAAAGGTGAAGCCTTTAGACATTACACCCAACTGTCAGAGTGAGTCTGTAAGAACCAAACAGGTACCAAAGCCTGACACTTTAGAGATGATATAAAATATAAAGAGGGAATGATTGAGAATGAACGTTAGCTCTGAAAGTGTGCCATGCTCACATGCAAGTAAGCAAACATTATATAAACGAGTCTGTCATGTGAACAAATGTTTAGAGTCAGTGCTAGTATTTGCCGATACAGCTGTCACATTTATGTTGAATACTTTCTCGAATATGCATGATTTCCATTGGCTCTTCCACTATATTTTTCTAAATATATGTATGTGCGTGTATTTGTGTGCATATGTGTGTGTGTTTGTGTGTACTGACCCTGGCTAGCTGCTCCTGCAGGGGCTCCTTGGTGGCTTCAGGACAGCTGTCCAGCTGGGAGCGCTGCTCACACACAATCTGAGCCAACCTTTCTACTCTGCCCTTTTCTACCTGCAGCAGCTTGCACGCCTGGCAGGCAAACGTACGTACACACAGATGCACACACGCATTCCCACACGAGGACGTACACCATGTACACGTTTGTTTATGTGTACATATAGACACAAAAAGACGAACACACACACACATACACACACACACACACACACACACACAAAGGACAGAGAGGATGGCAGAGTTAGTGGGGATTGGGGAGCAACAGTTAGTTACTACAGCGACCAGGTCAGTACGGATAGCCTAGTGGGTGGGGAGGGAGGGAAAGCTGGAGGGAGCGCAATGGAAAACTGATTAATGATGTTATGAGACTACACTTCTGCCGTTTTATTCCTTTTTTTATGAATGCAAATGATTGAAATGATTAAGTAAGAAGAGAGAACGGGCATGTATGGAATGACGCAGCAGAGGTTAACTATCACACTGATGGCCCTTTCTATAAAATACACAAAACACACATTCACCTAGAATCTGTGCAAGCACTCAACTTCATCTGCTCTTCAACCACAGTTTTTAAACACCCGGGGCTACACGCATCTACCCGATCGCTCGCTTTTCTTTCCCTAACTTCTTCCGCTGGCACATGCCGGCGCATGGAAATTTCAGAGTGAGTCCAGGACTCAGTCGAACACAGGCCAAACCAAAGCACGCGCACACACACGAATACACACCAGAAATACCGTCCATTTATCCGCTTACACCTCCCACTCAGTCAATAATATCATATGGTGTTATAAATGTAGAAAAAATATAGGCACACTTGCTTCCCTACACTTGCCAAACAGGATCACTTGATGACCGCTACTCCCCGGACAGTCTTAGCAGATATATATTTGGACCAGAGAGAGCATGAGAAGGATTAACACCTACCGCCCGGGTCTCTCAGTTGCCCATGTATTTTTAATGCCATTCAATGCATGTTGCTAGTAAAAATATAGGCTGTATGAGTGAATGGAGATGGCTTTTCAAATACCTAAAAGAATTTTTCCATATGTTAATGTGTATTTCTCCACCCTTTTGATGACCATATGTATTCAAAGGCAAAGTTAAGCATATTCAAAGGGACCTCTAACTTTTAACCCAGCTGGGTTAAAGATGATAAAGAGGTCTGTAAGCATCCCATTCTGAGTGTATCAACTTGAATACCTTTTCTTTTTCCTGCTGGGATTGGGTCTCTAGGTCAGCCATCTTGTTGTGAAGCGCTTCTAAAGCATCTTTTTCGTGTTGAAGAGCTGCTATCTCGGACTCCTGCTCAGCTTCAACTAGAGCTCGCTCAACCTCGACCTTTAAAAAAAAAAAAAAACACGCGCACACACCATACTCAGTTTTAAACTACTACTTTATATCTGTGCTTTTATCAAAACATTCTCATTCATCTTCTGTTAATCTTGACAATAAATCAATCAATAAATAAAGTAAATATCATCATCGTCTACATACCTCTCGGGCAGATTCCTCAATTTGATTGTCCAGCTCTTTGATCTTTTGTTCAAGCTCCTCCATGTTGTTCAGGACCTGGATTCTCTCCTCTTCCACGCGCCTCACTTCCTCCTCTGAAGGGATCGTGTCCTGTCCACGATGGCGAGCTGCATCCTCTAGAGCCTGGTAACATCATCATCAATGTAGTCGCTGATTTAACTCCTGCTAACATGCACTTACATTGACATATCTGCGAGACCTGTAATAATAATCACTGATGCCACAAATGGAAAGGAAAGCGTATGGGCTCCATACATACACACAAATGCCTGCTGTCAGTTCCAAATGCTAACACTTAGCCTGCTCTAATCTAATAAATGGACTGTAAATATCTCCCATCTGTGCTTGAGTAGGATGTTTATGTCAATACTTTCTAAGTATTAGGAGGAGGGATCCTTGTCACTGTTATGTTTTCCAGGATGAATGGGGGGCTAAACACTTCCTGCATAAATCCTGATTAATATTTTATTAAGATGACCAAGGTCAAAGGTGCACGGAGAAGAAAAAACATACATCTATCATTTTACCAAATCAACAGAGACTAATGTTACAGAATATTCTCTTGCATGAAGTCTTCAGAGTGACTAAAGTCTGTAGACCATCAAGGAATTGCATATTTCACTGTATTTATTTTATACTACCGGACAATTTTTTTTAAATTTATGTTTTCTCCTACTTTTTTGAATGAGGGTCAAAAGTTATATGATTCTACTGAACAAACACGGTTCTGTAGACTAGTTCATCTTATACACCAAATAACATTTGTTTTTGCTCTTTGCTCTCAGTGACACTGCACTCACACATGGAGGGCATTTCTGTGTTAGCATAAAGTTCTAACAGTCACAAAATAAGTGTCCTGTGTCTTATACCTCATTTGTCCTATGTGCACGCGGTGAAGGTGTGGGGGCAAAGCTTCGCAGACTGATGGCAGGTGATTCGGCCCTGTTGTCTCGGTGACCGCTGCTACGCCTCCGTCGTACCTGCAGGTCATCATCATAGTAACCGTTCTCCGATCCAGGGGAGGTCGTGTGCCCGTTTCCGACTATTCCACTAACAGCTGAAGAGTCGGAAAAGACAGAAGGCGTGTCATCATCTTCGTCGTTCAGCTGCAGCTTCTCAAGCTCCTGGTTGATCTTCTGCAGGTCTGCAACAGCTGAAGTGGAGCTGGTGGCTGTGGCGCCTCCGTCCCTTTCAGCTCGGCCCAGCTCAGAGCAAAGAGACAAGATGGTCTCGAGCCGCTGTCGCTCCTGCGATAATGGCAAACATAAAAGCACACACGTGTATGGGTTATGTGCATGCAGTGGCAAATACTATTTAAGATCACGTTTTTAATGTTGACATGTTGCTGACGTTTTACACAAATACAATGCAACCCTATAGTATTGAGCTTAGTCAAGTTTTAAATAATAGTATTACCTCGGGAAGCATCACAGAAGTCAGTCCTTCTAAAACGTTTCCGTTTAGTCCAAAATAAAGAAAAGTAGCATTTACTTAGTATTCAGCATGACCCTCTCCTGTATGTGGATCTAATTTGGTCTAATATTTGCAGATTTTAGAAGAAACATTTCTTCTCACTGGGAATCCCTGGAGTGAGCACTTCTCCCTGCCAGTGCATAGCTATATGTGGGGCACTACGGAGGCTGCACAGAGTCGAAAATGCCCTCTTGCAGCTTCAGCAGTTACTTCTCTCAAGGCTTACGTATATGAGCCACACAGCCAGCCTGTGTTAGTAATATTAGATACAGAGAGGGAGGGGAAATGGACAGAAGCGTGTGTGTGTGTGAGTGATAGAGAGGAAGAGTGAGCTAATGAGAAGGTGGTCAGCTGTAACCATGGTCATAAGTGTGCACAAGAACCGGCTATGACTCCAAAGCAGGAATGTGTCTATGAATGTCACCGTGGAAACAAGATGCTTTCCAGGGAATTCTTCACAAGGAGAGAATCGGATCCAGGTGACATTTGGATTGTGAAAATCATGAAATAGTTAACTGTGTGTTTAGGAAAAAGCACGAAACAGTCACTTTATAGTGCTTCTTAGTTAAACAGTTATTTCAGAAGCAACATATAACAAAGCATCGAACACATTTTACCAAACGTAATTAGAGTAAGACTTGTTCAGGGACAGAATCTTTACACAAGCACACATACAAACCCCAATTATAACACGTAACATGAACCAGGAGCTGGCACAAAACGTGTCCGTGTCAGTTTGTCACCTTGCACTATTCTAATGGGCATAAGCTTCTGTGGAGCCTCTATAGTAATCAGCTGTCAACTAGAGCAAGAGACAGAAAGAAGAAGAGAGGACAAAGACACGGACAGATGAGAGGAAAGCTGGAGAAAGCACGAAAATGAAATACAGGGACAGGGAAAGACGGTGAAAGAAGCAAAAGACAGGAAACGAGCTGGGAAATTTTTGGACAATACGCCTTGCTTTAAATTTGTTTGTGTGCCTTTAATTAACACTGACATTAATTTCAGCTTTCTTTTTTAGCAGTCTCTTGTTTCAGTTCTGCTCCTTTGTTTATCCCGGAAGCTCCAAAGTTATTTACATGCATTACACAAGCTACTCTGCTAACTGCACATACATAGGCATATGTAGACTCTACACTTGGTTTAAACCTTACTTGTGTTTTCACATTTGTTGCTGATAATTAAGATATATTTACTATATTTAATCAACCAAATTAATTTTCAGGAAATATAGAATTCTATTTTCTAAGGATACCACTAGGGGGCAGACAAATACAAGACAATAAGGCTAGACTGAAATGCTACAATTGCTGCTACATCTCACCTTTAGTCATCTGATTAAAGTAGAGATGCACAGGATTACAACTCCCTGTATAATGTGGATCATCGATGATATTTAACACCAGGGCACGCACTAAAACAGGGAGTCGAAATAGTTTCAACCCAATTAAGTGCAACACTGCAACACAATTCATTCCCCCATCTTCATACCAGCAAAAGAGAAAATCTTCACATCATGAAAGCTCAAAACCACGCTCATAAGAATTTGGAGGCTTGTCAAAAGCCACCACCAAAACTGTTCTTTAAATCAGAGATACTGAGACACTTTAATTGTGAGAACATGGCTGAGAGAAACAGAGAAATAGAAAGAAAGGGATCACGAGATCGGTTGTCATTATATGTTGATAATATGTGTTTATCCACCTGCTACACTATAACTCTGTAATCTTCTTGGTTTCTCTTACCCACATCTGACTGATGTGTTCTGTGGCTCCTTAGCACAGCAAACCACACTGGGTGGACCTCCAGATGACTGACATAAACATGAACCTCATATGAACACATATATACACACACACACACACACAATCCAAGTACAGGGTTAAGAATAGTGCTGTTAGTATGGGCTAACTGCCATGAGCACCTGTCAAGTGGTGAACCTCACTGTGTGCCTGTGTTAAGCTCCCTGGGAGAGTATGTTTGAGAGCGCAAGGAGCAGGGAAGCATTCCTACACTCGTTCCATGTTTGGTGCCTTTGTAGGCGTGCACAAAATAACATTAAACCTTAAACACCCTGCTCTCCTGCCTATATTCAGTCTATCTGAATAAGCTTAGCTGTAGGATGCACTCTATGATGATATGTCAAAGAAAAAGCAAATACTAAATGGCACAGTAAAAACAGCAGCTATGGTTTAAATACAGAAGCTAAAAGCAATTAAACTCACCAGTCTCTCCACCTCCTGCTCACGGAGTCTCTCCTCTTTTTGGCGTTGGTGGTAGTCTGTCAGTTCTTCCTTCCCACTTAGGGAGCTGATACTTCCCCTTCTTTCCCTGAACCCCCCTGGCGGGGTCACCCCTGCTTTGCCAAATGACTGCCTCCTCTCCCCCAGACCAATTCCAGTTTCCAGGCCGGCCTTCCCAAATGAAGAACTCCTCTCTCTAAGTCCTAGTCCCGGTGTAACGGTGAGTTCAAGGCCCACCCCTGGTTTTTCTTGCTCCGCCACAGACATTTCTGCTCCTGAGGAGGCGTCATTGCTGCTTAGCCGTTCTTGTTCTGGAGGGCTCGAAGCTATAGAGCTGATGGAGCCTATTGAGCTGGTAGAGGTTAGGCAGAGTTTTTTGGCAACACGAGGAGAAGAGGAGCCCCCTGCCCTGGATGGGATTGTTACATCTGGTGGAGTGGATGTGGATGTGGAAGAGATGGAGTGGGAGGTGGAGCAGGAGGAGGTCCTAGGGGAAGAGAGGGAGATCGACACGACACCTTCCCCTTGAGCTGTGGTCTGGCCTTTAATCCTGTTTGCAGCTTGCTGACTGGAGTAACTAGACTTGTGGTTGAGGTCAGCGTTTTGGCCGTTGCTGTAATGCTCTTTGCTAAATTTGTAATCCCCAGCAGTATCAGACCGCCGTGGAGGCAGCGTTGACAAAGTTAGCACTCCATTATTATTGTCACGGGGGGACGGGGAGGGACAGAGGCGTGGCAGTGAGCGGCTGTGTCCTCCTGCTGTCATCCCACTCAGCGAACCTGCTGAGTATTTCCTGGTTCGACTAGTGGGTGTCGGCTCCTGGTTCCCCTGGTTCCCATAGGTGCGGCGTCCTAGACGGGGGCTAGAGGGCATGCTGGCAGCGCCCCCAGAAGATGGAGTGCGGGATGAGGAAGAAGATGGAGGAAGAGAGAGGAGATAGTTCTCACTACTGGCAACAGAAGTGGAAGATCCCCCACCATTCCAGGTGGAGAGTAAAGGAGAGGAGCTCTGACTGTGCAGTCGTCGGCTATCGCTGGTGCTAAAATTGTCCTGACTGCGGCCAACTGAAGAGCGCGAGGCCAAAGAAGAAGAAGGGTCGGAACGTCGCCCGGGGGAAAGAGGGGGAGCAGATTTTAAAGACAAAGAAGGACGATCGGAGCTATAGAAACGCCTTGCCTGTTCCTGATAGGCTGATGAAGATGTGGCAGGACTGGAGACAGGTGTGGTGGGGGGAGACTGGGAGACAGAAAAGAAAAAAATGTATGATTAGAAATATATAAGAATTCAGTTCTCCTGTGGAAGCTATAGACAGAAACAAATGAAGAAATGGAAATACACAAATATGAACATTTTGAGGCTTTATTAGATTCAAGCGTTTACAGTATAATATAAATTACAGAAACACTGATATTGATGTATGTGTTGATGAATATGTGCAGAATTGTGTTTGGAGAACACAATGCAGAATGCAACGATGTAACAACTGGTTCGTGTAATGAGTGAATATCAGTTAGAATCATTCACAAACCGTGTTAAAGTGCCCTGTAGAGAGGTAATGTTGGAGCTAAAGGATGACCGACCTGTGTCACACTGAAGTAGGAGGGGTTGGCATTCCCGTTGGCTCTCAGGCTGTTTTCAAGGGCAATTTTCTTACGCTGCAGGGTGTCCATCAAGTCCCGAAGCTCAGATGCTGATCGCATGCCCCTAGCACTACTGGTGCCACCCACAACTGCATGGCTATAGTCACTGCTAAACTTCAGGTAGTCTAGGTGGGAGAGAGATTAAATGGAAAAGAAAATGAATCTATAACATGGGGAAGCTAGGTTAAACATAAACATAAGCTATCAAACGACTAGAAAGAAAAGTAGATACAGAAAGGGAAAAGAGAAACAGGGAGAACAAATATGGAAATTATGTGTGAAGAGCCAGGTGAAGACAGAGGAAGGAAAGAGGGAGTGGCGAATGAAAATAAAGAGCGAGAGCGAGAGAGAGGGAGAGATTTATGTATAGTTAAACCTGAAGCTATTCATAAATGGGACCCTTGGCAGAACAAACTCAAACCAAACAATCCACAACTAACCCTATCCCTGAGAATAGGAAACAATCCTGTCCCACACACACACACAAACTGCATGCAAATACACATTCACACAAAACCATCCATTAGATCCAAGACAAACAGTTTAACTCGAGTTCAGTTCCTCAGTATTTTGAGGATTTTGTAGATGAGATAAACCACAAAATATTCTGGAATACCCTCATGAGGCTCCCCCCGCCCTTCCTTAAGTCTTTTATTTAAAGTAGCTTCAGCAGTGAGAGGGTCTTTTTTTCTCAAAACCTCAGCTGAGTCAATTTTTACTTCCTTCCTGCTGGATTTACAAATAAACTATCATTTGCTTTCAATAGCATAGCTAAGATTGGCAGCAATGCTAAGTATAAGTATGTCTGCCTGATAGCTCCGGTACTATTTTGGTGCGAAATTCCAAAAAGAAAACAGTAAATATCTTCTGAAAAAGGCCAAGCAGGTAAAAAAACACTTAGGGTAAAGCAATGTGCTCAAACCTTGCCCAGTTTTCAAAATTATCTGTGGCTTTATGTGGAAAAGGAGCTATTACAATGTTCAAGCTTAGACCACCCAGTGTTTAACAACCACATACACCCACACACACATATATACACTTTCCTGCAACTGTGGCTCCGCCTGTATGTTCCATGTGTAAAAGAAAGCGAGAACCTGGAGCACCTAAAAGTGCATAGACAGATTATAGATGAATATAAGCCTGTGTGAGAAAATGTCAAACCCTTACATGGTGGAGTGAACTGAGGCAGAAGGTGAAAGACATCATAAGATCTAGAAACATGCAGGCATGCTCACACACACACACACACACACACACAGGGTGTTTGTGTCCATACATGGGCAGATTTACACCGGAGGGCTGGTGTGCATCAACTCTCTCCTTTCACGATTGTTCTGCTCCAACATATTCAGTTGTGTTTGTGTGGGAGCCTTGTCTTTAGTTGGACGTCTTTAAAATAAGGGTTGGTGACGGTGAAGAACATCTCTGCCCATAATAATAATCTTTCCTAACACACGTGCGTGAAACTGTGGAAGAAATGAGCACCTTCTGCCTGTTTAAAGAGCGGGATTTCCACTGTATACAGCAGCCTCGAGCACTCGATAAATCGCCTAAGAGACAGCAGAGTCCAGATGTATCGCCGTGGCAATGGACAGACACCATACAACCAAAACATTCCAATATGCTTTGAATTTTAGGTTTTGGAATGTGCGTGAAAGTGCATTTGGGAAAGACATATGAGAAGACTGAGAGAAACACCTGCCCCCACCCTAACACTGACTCTTTCCTCCCACCACTTTCAGGCAGCAGCCATGGTTAATGTGCACAGAAAAGTTGAGCTCATGCATTCTCCGCTTTCCCCCCCCCTGCCAGTCAGTTAGATGACATCCAATCTTTGAAATTTGAATTTATTTACATTATTTATGGTTTAACCAGGTCGTTAAATTGGGTCAGTGTGGTCCTCCAATTGGATGTAACCCATCTGGAGTGTGACTATTGGTAACTCCATACTGACATAACAGTGAAGTGACTAGTGAGAAGAGCAGCAGATGTTACATCAGCTGGATCTAATGGAGCACTGAAGATGGCAAATAAGTGAAAAGCCAGTAAAGTAATAATCAAGAAGGCCTACATGTATATTCTGGAATGGCAAAATTAAGACACAGAGGAGACAAACCAAAGAGGGATCAAGCACAGCTCAGGGTCAGCCCCTTGTGTGATGTACCTGTGTTGTAGGCTAAAGCCGATACAGGACTCTTTTGGGGAAGCATGCTCTTCATTCTGCTGGCTTCCTCAGGATGGTTGAACCGGAACAAATAGGATTTTCCCAGACACAAAGAATAACCTGAAAGGAAAAACACAAACAGACGTCTCAAATTACTGAGACGAATGATGCAAAATCTACAGGTAACCAGGTAACATGTGAAGCTAGTGTGATACAGAATACACCATTACAACATCCACATTACAGCGCATATGTGAAGAGGTAAGTCTTAAGTAGATTCATGTGAGCCTGGGTGTTTATTCACAGCTAGACACACTTGCGCACGCGCAGCAGACGACTGTGTTTGCCCTGGCCATCAATTAGCCCGAGAGGGCCGGGTATTAAACAAGATCTCAGGGTCACAACCTCTGTAATACACACAGGCAGCCACAGCTGTCCAAATACTTGAGATGGCAACAGAAAGGAAGAGCGGCGCTGACACAGATACAGGAGGTCTTGTGTGGGAAAAACAGAGGAAAAAGAATAAAAGAATAAAAACACTGAACTGATGCACTTTTTGAGCCAAGGAGGAAAGAAATGCTGAGGGCCAGCTTTCTTAAATCAACAGGTCAATGCGGGTCTTTCTTCTACTTCCACTGTCGAAAAGCCCTGTTACAGTAAAACTCCCATAACGTTATGTGTAAGAGGCTAAAAAAGCACCTCCTTAATAGCTCCATTTCAGTTACATCAGATTCTTTGGACCTGAAGTCAGACGTAACCACTGAGGCAAGAGGAGGGGGGTGTGGAAAAAGGCTGAATGGAAAAAATCCAGATTGTTTTCATCCTCTCTTTTTCTCTCGTTCTCATTTCATTTTTTGTTGCCTTTTCTTTCTCACACTTATGTCAAGTCTCATAAACATCTCAGGCAGTAAAGCTGCATTAATAGCCGAATTGAGCATTACAGTTGAAATGAAAGAGGTCGAGCCAGTCTAGATATTACCTTAGAGCATTTCACAAGCAGCCCCCCCCCCCTCAATACACCCAGTTCTCAGCATAGTGGGGAGATCCGATTGTGGCTGTGATGTGAAGTGGGCAACACAGGCACACACACACCCGAAAACAGTGTAGGAAATGTTTAGTCTGCACAGCTGGACTGTGAAGCTCTCAAATCCATACTTATATAAACATGAGCTTGCAGGTTTGGCCACAACCTGTGAGGAAGTGGGATCATGACCGATAAAAGATGTAGGGCCTCCGTGAAGAGACTGAGAGCAACACACACACACAGACAAACATCACTGTGTCAGCGAGTATGAGTAAGAGCTAATAATAAGCGCTTCTCCTTGCCAGACGTGAGTAAAGGTGTAAATCTTCAAAACGTCTATCTATCTGTGTGTGTTGGAACATGCCTTGTAACAGGGTCTGCCTAATGAATCCCAGTACCTCTCAGTATTTAGCGTAACGGCAAACACAGACATGGGCTCACAAACAAACACACACACACAGCAGTCAGTGCTTGTAAAAATCTAATTTCCTACCCTCAATAGCCACTTTTAAAGTGTATGGTAACGTGTGACGTCTTGATTTGTTAACAGGCCCCGACCCTCCTGTCTTTCTAATTTCCTCTCATGTCCTTAGCTAGCAAGTAACTCTTAATTATTCTCTCCTCATTTCGACCCCCAGCATAAACCAATAGCTATGAAGATATGAGTCTACGCAACAAGGGCAAACAAACTCCATGTGAAAAAAAATTCACATCTAAATTTATCTGTGATTCAAGTCTGCTGTCTTTAATAACTTCGATGTTGGGGGGGGTTTTCCATTCACGTGTTCACTTGTTTACCAGCAAATTAAGTTTGCCCTCCCCCAATGCATGCACTCTTCCCCGCGCACACACATATGAGCAGACCCTTTCCAACAACAACAAAAGCTGAAATTAGCCTGTATATACATTTATGGGATAATTTAAAGTTTGCAATCTACAAAGTCAGACCTCAGAGTCTTTGAGGACGCAGATGGAGCCTGAGCTGTACGCCTGGAGCCAATTTCTGTCCCCATGTAGATCTGCGCTCTCTCGCCACAATGTTATGGGAGGAGAAACTTAAATCTGCTTCTCTGTTTGGTTAACATCAGAGGCAGAATTGCCAATTTGAGACCATTAGGCTACAAGGAAAAATAAACCAATTTCAAAGGTGCAAACACATGCCCGGATGAAACCCAGCTTACCTGCTACTTGATCAGGTGTGACATCCGTGGCAATCATACCCAACAATGGTGATGCAAGGTCAACTAAAACTATCCCCAAATTTGAAAGATATTAGAAAAATGCTATCTTGGTTACGATCCCTAGAATATGCACGGTGTTGACATTAAATCTCAGACTGAATGTATTCACTCATGAAATGAATATACACACAAACAGGTCCCAGTGGGAGAGGAAATTGTCCTCAAAACCACAAATTAACCCTCTCGAAGCACAAGGGCATAGTGGTAACACCATGAAAAGACAGACTGGTGTTTCTCAGGAGAGTCAGAGCAGATTAGTCATTCCATCTCTCACATGCTCACACTCACAGGCCTAATTTGTCTCCTCACAAACTCAGGATTGCCTTCTGTCTGCTCTATCTCAAATCGTATTAACAAATAATCAACTTCCCTCAAGCAAAGAATGCAGACCTGTGAATAACCTCTTAACAGCCCTCTAATTAACTGTATTTCTCACCAAGTATTTAAGGAAAAGAATAAAGCGAACAAAAACAGATACATTTCATCCATTTTACGGTGTAAAACTGGAAAAAGCAAAATCCAAATGTTCTGGGGGTGGGCAGGCAGAAAGATTTGTGAGGATAATAACACCCGTGACAAAGAGGGAGGTTTTATTTTCAGGTGTCAGGTATCCTGACCACTGAGTCTGCCTTTCTATCCATGAACTACATTACATCTGCACTGGCACATGAACTCACCAGCTAACTTATAACCACGAGACAGGCACACAAAGTTCATTTACATTAAAAAGGTGCAGACAAGACGCTGTGATGGAACACTGACAGAATCTGGCTAAAAATAAGAAAACAACCTCCAAGTGAGCAACACGGGTGAATCACACCTCTAACCTGCTGTAATAATGATGCACGTGATTTACTGACCTGTGCAATAATTACAGTGTTTCGCCATTTCCAGCAAGCAACAAGCAAAGATCAGCACATCAGGTAACAGTTCAGTAACAGTGTGAATACTATTGACCTTTAGACTAAAAAAATCTAATTGAATTGAATCATTTTAACCAATCAGAAGGACTTTTTACCTTTATATCAGCTGCTGAGCAAATGCTGTTTATCCTGGCTGGCACAAGTGCTCACTAGTGTGCTTTCTGTAAATAAGCCAGTACACAGATCGATTGATAACTTTAACGCCGGGATCACTGGTCATTCAGTCCAAAGAGCATGCTGCATATGCTTCAGAGTAAAGAGGTATTTCCCTTAGCACATACATAAACAAACAGATGCCCAAGCAGTTTGATGATATTATAAGTGAAAGTGGAATATAAGCTATGAATTGCGTTTCTCATCCTCACATTAAATAGGCTAGATATACAGAGAAACAGCCTACGTCATAGTTTAAAGCTCAACGTGTGTTTTTCATTCTAAAATATTTCCCAACTCTTACGACAGTTTCTGAAACATTGTGTAACACAAAGTGCTTCAGATGGATAAAGTTCAGTAAAGCAGAGGTTTGCTAACACAAAGGCTGAGTAAATTACAACGTTACTTTACTTCTAAAGCAAATAAAATCCGTTACAAACCTTTTCGAGCTATTTGTTTTCCTTCAGCGTCTTATCATGACAAGAACTACAAGAACTTCTCCCTCACGGGCAAAACAGATACAGACAGATTATATATCAGCACCACTGTCCGCCTCTG